CTAAAAAGCCTTTCAAATTAAGCTCACTTACACCTTCCCATCTAATAACTAGTTCTATTTCAGCAGGAGGGAGGACAAACTTTTGTCTCCATTCTAGGCACCGTCTTAAGGAGTAATAACTTATTTTATGTTTTGGAGCTCCAACTATCTCAAATTTTCTGATCGTTTTCATAAATATATAAATATATACATAGAGAAAATTATTAAATTTTATACTAATAACCTAGCATTCTTTCATGCAAATTAGAAATAACAGAAAATATCACAGAATAACATCAGAGAAAATCAAAACAAAGATGATCTATTCCATTAGAAAAAACTTTGTTTTCAAATTTTTATTGTTATCACAAATATAAGAGAAGTAAAACACTGCTTTACAGATAAAATTTTCCACAAATATAAATAATGAAGTCCCATTTTGGTGTGCATTAAAGATGTTTTCTGGAGAAAAATAAACAAGCATAATAGAAATATATACGTTAGAAAAATCTATGTAACAAAAGTCATTTTAATTTATTGAAATGAACTGAACAACTCAGTCAGATTTAATTAGCTTGTATCCAACTCATTGTTTGGTACATAATGGACATTCAGTAAATATTTGTTGTCCAAAAGAATCAATTTCTATCTAACCCTGTAGTTTCCAAAATCAAATTGCTTGCTCTTACAGTTATGCAGTGACATTACTTTCACCAAACATGAACTAAAAAATGTTTTAGAATGAATACTATTTCAAAATTTAACAAGTAGGTTTCCAACATGTTATAAAAAAATTAACATAAAATGTTCTCCCAAAATGAAATACATTATGTTTTATTTTGTCCTCCAGGAATGTGTTTTTATACCAAAAAAAAAAAATCCACATAGGTTGTATATTGGTCTAAGGTTTATCATCAAGAGAATAGATTGTTGCACTCTAAATGTTAATAATACCCTACTCTGAATTTTAACTGGCCTGACTTAACTTAAATCACAGTAAATTACTAGGAGGCAGTTGTTGCTTTTTCATTTTCATTTTGTACCTTCTTCGGGTGACTGATTTTCTTTATAAACTTACCTTGCCCCTCCCATTTGGCCTGATCTTCATCAAAAGAGGTAAAATAAGGAGAAGTCTTGAAGTGAGAAATGCAGCTGACTCTAAAGCCTTTGTGTGTAAAACTAAAGCAGAAAAGACCAATGCTGCCAATTCAGTGCGGAAGGAAAAATACAGAGAGAACTCAGCACACACATGCTGAAATCCTGGCTTAGCTGACCTTCAAATACAGAATCTTGGTAGGAGAAAACTAACTATCCCAACAGTGACTCATCTAATGAAGAAAGGAAATATGGAAACCTGTACCACACATGGAAAGGTTTCTATGAGAGAGCTGACTCACTTGTCATTCACAGGACTGTAACCTCTCCAGCCTTCCATTCAGCAGCAAATTATTAAACTCGTGTTTGAACGCAGCCATGTGCCAGTCCCTGTGTAGAAATAGAGAATTACCACTGTCCTTTCCCTCAAGGAGCTCAGATTTAATATAACGAACAACTAGACTATTTGGGGTCACTGCAGCCGCTTCCCTGTCACACTCCAGGACGTGCAGTAGTTAGCGTCCTCACTCACCTGACAGCCATTCTCAGTGCTATAAAGTTCTGACCATAGCAGTCCTCAGCCAAGAGGCTTCACCTTGAAAGGTAAAAAATTAACAAAAGATATGAAGAACAAGGTCCTGCATCTTATATGAAATAAATTAAAGCAGAAATGCATGATTTGCAAGGTACAAATTCCTTCATTTGAAAACAATCCTTTGATAGTGTTCATATGAGTTAATATCATTGTGATATGGTCCCCTCTTATGATCATAGGAAATTCATCCTCACTCTTGGGAATAAAATAACAAAAATTTACTACTTGACAATGAATGAGCCAATTTTAAAATACTGATTGCAATGTCTAAAATGTATTCTCCACTTTGGTTAACCTGGTATGGTTTAGTCAAAGCACAAACCAGACAAAGAATTTTAGGCCAATTTTTATGCCAGTTATTCAATCCTGGTTCTAGTTAGAAATTTTGGCAATAGCTGCAACCATCAATCACCCATTATTGCAGCTACAAAATTATTTTTTCTGTTAATTTGATACTTTATTCTGTTTCTGCATGTGTAAAATATGCACACTCATAGATGTGGATATTCATATAAAAATTATTTTGTAAGTATGACTTTATCAATAATGTTTTCTCTAGGCATTATATTTGGTCGTGCACTTCCTGATAATTTGGCACTTTGAAGAATACAGCCATTTCTGACTTTGATAGATGCTATACTTACAAATAAGCCGCTTTCCTCTATCACAGCCTGACAACCAATGCAAGAATAAAGGAACTAGTACAGAAAATATGCATTCATCACCAGGAGAAAATGGAAAGGAAAAAATTTGTAGTAAACAAAAAACACTGAAGGAATCTAGCCCATGGAGAAGGACTCTCCTGGTAATGAATTCCTTGTTCTGATATTCCACCAGTTGAACATTAATTATGGTTGATACTAAATGTCTTATATTCAAAGTGTTAATCTAGTTTTACCCTCTAAAACCGGGTTACTGGTGTGAAATAGCAGAAAGAATAAAGAGGCCAGAGGGAAAAAGAAGGGCGTAGGAGAAAAGATTGCCTTAGGTGAGAGAGCCTAATGCAGTCTTCATCTTATTCACAATTTTGCCTTCAATTGTCCCTTCTTGGAGAAACTTAAAGGAAACTCTCCTCCAGTTTTCAGCACTGAGTCCTCCTCCTCCCAACCCACCCCATTCAAGAACTGCAATATAGGCTAATATAATTTAGCTACACATGTGTTACAAAGGCTTTGGGGAGCTTGTCTGGGGACCTAAAAACCCTTAGAGTATCAGTTCCAGACAAAGCTTGCTCTGGATTCAAAAATCTTGCTCTGTCATTTTTTAAATCGAGCTACTTTATGGTGCACCTACTCTGAGTCAGATACTCTGGAAAATACCTTTTTACATAGATAAATGAGATGTGACTTCTGCTCTCAAGGGATTTGCACATCACTAGTAAACCCAGAGGTGTGGTTATTGTAACAATCAGGTCACAAATGGAGGTTGGGGGTCAGGTGCGAGAGTAGTGGTTGGTATGGATAGAAAAATCTAGATTAATTGGCTTTAAAATAACCAGGCACCCCAATTAACGATAATCCTCAACTCACCCCACCCCTAAATTCAGCTTTCAGTAGAAAGTATTAAATCATGCTCATGTCAGATTTTAATCCAAAAATCAACATCATATCTAGGATCATGGCAAATGTATATTACTTCTTCAATGGAACAATAAACCTAAGCCATAGTTATATAACATTGAAACAAAATTTAAATTATATCCAGAAACCATATAAACAAAAATAAAAATTTATATTTTAGAATTTTTTTCAAAACTAACCATATCAAAAAAATGGGTTTTAGTTTAACCAGAAAGCCCAATTAACTAGAAACATCATTTTGTGAGTCTTCTGCTATTAATATTTTTAATTGCAAAAGTTATGAAGTCATACTATCAGGAATCCTGATTAGGCTACTGCCTCGCTGTGTAACTTGATAAATGAAGCTGCCTGTGCTTTGGATTCCTCATTTGTAAAATGTAAATGATGTTAGTGAACATGAAAAATGCTTTTAACAGTGCCTGGTACATAGTAAATGCTCAGTAAATGTTAGCTGTCATGATCACCATCATTCTTAATGCAATTCCTAGTTGTGTAGATAGGTTTTTGGAATGAATCCCCAATAAATGCATGTGTTGTAACTCCAGATGCACTCAGCATTTCCTAGAAGAACTGAGGCACATTAGGGGATACAGCCAGGCAAAGTGCCCAGAGGAATATGACAAGTCTGTCTCGGGACGAAACGAAAAACCAATAAGCCAACAAAACAGTAACAACAAAAGATCCTAAAAGTTTCTGCTTTCCCTTCATCATCTTGGCTTTCATATTATAATATGGGAGTGAAAACTGAAAGAATTATTAAATTCCTTGGAATATTGATGCCAGGTAATGACTGATGTCCTCCTCCCTGAAACTCCTAATACAATATTTAGTGTTGAAGGAATCAAAGATGGTAGAGGAAACAAATAGAGTCTCTTATAAATATAAATAGAGTCTTCTTATAAGAGGAGTTTGTCTATTTAGAAAAATCTTGATTACCTCTAACCTGTCTTTTTTTGTTGGTAAGAATTTGTGGAATACATTATAGTCACTTCACCTTGTACTTAAGAGTACATTAATATACTTTAAGATTCAAGATAGATGAAAAGATAAATAGGTGATAGATTCAAGATAGATGCTTCTGGTGATATTATTCATGTTAAAGACTGCAATTTAGAAGGAAAGTATCATCATGGGCTTATACTTTATAATAATTATTTAAATGTTTGTCTCCTGATGACCTTCCTCTGCATAAGATGGTCTTTTGTAACACTGAAATCACACTCCTTTTTCAATTAGGTATTGGATGAAAGTGGTCAAAAAGTCGATTTCATGATGGATACTGTAGACATACTTTTATAGCATAAAATCAAATACCATGAGCTAAATCATAATGCATGCAAGGAATGAAATCAGTCCTACCTAGCTTCTATTTCAGTCTGTCTGTCAACCTGCAGCTACTTCCTTAATTTTGAAAGAGAACAAAAAGAAGCTTCTGGATTTTGAATGACTGCCACATTTATGTGGGGAAAATGGTAAATGTTCCAGAAACCCAACCAAGGCCAATAGTTTTGGATTCACAGTAATTGCATACATTTTATTTAAAAATCCTCCCTAGCAGTATGTGCCTGTTACCTAAAGCGATGGAGCAGGCCCCAGTTTTATGTCTGATTCTAAACCTGGGCCTACAGTACAAGACATAGCACCTACTGTGGCCTCTGCTCTGTCACTTTGCCATGCGATTCTAATGTAGTTTTACTTGAATAACATAAAATAACATATATAATGTTATTTATGTTATTTTCCACGTGAAGAACTCCTGTAAACCTTGCCGTTTTGAAACTCAGTGAGGCAGGCGTCTTAGACAAGCTGAAAAACAAATGGTGGTACGATAAAGGTGAATGTGGACCCAAGGACTCTGGAAGCAAGGTCAGTCGCTGCAGTTCGGTGCCTCCTCTTGTGTTCACAAAGCAGTAAACGGGAGCAATTGTTAAAAGTATATGGAAACCATAAAAACTGAACATTATACACTCAGCCACTGCCTAAATTAAAAGCTAACGTCATAAATTTCAACCATAGGGATGGTCTTTCCAGGAAACTGCAACCTGCTCCCCAATATTAAGACTTTCAAATTAAATTTAAACTGCAAAATTTTTTAAAATAATAAAATTCCTTCTATATTATTCTCAAACTTACGTACCACTAATAAAAGTAGTGTTTTGGGGGGTAGTTTTTATGTTCGTTTCGGAGGCAAAGACTTCATGAAATCATGTTATTTCAAGAACTGATGTATTCTCAAAACAGGAAATCTGTAGTAAACCAGAAAAAGGAGATTCTAAATATTAAATAAATGCTTACTCAGAGGTTCTGTCTTTTGTCACCATAGTGCCAAGCATTCCAATTTAGTTTGAAGAAGCCCTATTATATTTCTGTGCTGATAAACAGAGTGAACCTTTCAATTCTACTCACCCAATTGAAATTGTTTTAATTAATCAATGTGTATGAATAATATTCTCAAGCTCTAAGATCTCTTAATCATAAATTCTTTTTAAAACAATGTAGGAAAAAAATTTTAAAATGCAGGAACCTACATGCCTAATTCTGTTGAGTAGAAATAAAAGTAGTGGAAATAGTTATGTTTTTATTTAAAAAAAAAAAAACACAAGTTTATCAGTGAATCTAAATACCTACACAAGTTGATAGACTATAGTAACAGCACCTGAAAGCCAGAGCTGAAGGTTCTTGGAATCCCCTTTTATTTCTTTCTGTATTTTCTTTAAGAAAGAAAACAAATTACTGGATATTCTAAGATATTAAACACATGACTGGTTTAAATAGGAGAGAGCCTCAGTTAACTTAAGGAGACAAATTAATGTTAATGAATCCCTTTCAGGTCTTATCCCTATATTGTAATCCTTTCTGTCTGTCTTTTAACCAGAGTGGAATGAGACAAGCTTGGCCAGATAATTAAACCATTACCTGAAATCCTGATGTAAAGTCAGACAAGCGCAAATACTTAATGAGTAATTATTTTAAAAATGAAGCTACCCTAAATTGTTTGGCCCAGTCAGTTGATGTTGTGACTAAGGTGACAGTGTATATAGTGCATCTTTTGAATTAAATACTCACCTATAAAACTCTTTAAGGGTCGGAATCACATTTTGCACAAAACATCCTGCTGAGAAGATAATGACTACGGGGCATCCTTCAAGTAGCCTACCAAAATACTTCTTGCAATAATATTATGTCATAAACATATTTATAATTTATTAGACAATTTTGAATTCTTGTTACAATTTTAGTATCTTCCAATCACAAGAGTAGGACTTAGAGATTATTCTGGATTTATTATGAGATCATATGTATACTGAAGCTCTGAAGAATAATATCTCTAAAATATTAATGGATTAAGCATTTTTAAGTGGGAATGATATTGTATTTTTACTTAATAAAAATAATTATAAATTCATCCATAAATAACTTATTTTTCAATTGACCATAATAATTTATATATTTTTAAAAGTTATCTTTAAAAAGTACTTGAGTTACACATATATAATTATTTATAAATAGTGTATAATATGCAAAAGTAACATTTTCCATGAGACTTCCCTTGTAGAAACTGAAAGAACAGATAATATGTACCTTGGCATATTATTTTCATATATTTGGTAAATTAATGATGAACAAAATGTGAAACTATCAGCTCAACAACTCCTTAGTTGCTCAACTAGGAAATGTGGAGTTGGCTTTATTCAAGAGAAATCTCAGATGTTAAAAAGCATATTCTAATAGAAGCAAAGCCAAAAGAGGTCCCCTTTCTCCCATAATTGGATTTTAAACTTGTCATTTTCAAACTTAACAATAATAACCCCACTTCTGCCACCCTGTGTAAATATATAAATGCTTATATATGGCTAAGTATAATGGTTTTCATTGCATATTTAATAATGATAAAATGTTACTGATTTCACTGAATGTAATTAGATACAATTTGTTGATAACTATTATAATTTTACTTCTCCCAAGAGCTATAAGCTTTATGTTTAAATTATAAACCTACATCAGTGACTTATACTTGTAAATAATTTCAGGTTAAATTAAGTGTTTACTTTCATTGGCTTTTTGGATTTCATGTGTTCTTTTACCTTTTGGATGTGACATTTCTGCAGTTAACTGAAATGTCTTTATCCCCCCCAGGACAAGACGAGTGCCTTGAGCCTGAGCAACGTAGCAGGCGTCTTCTACATTCTGGTTGGCGGCTTGGGCTTGGCAATGCTGGTGGCTTTGATAGAGTTCTGTTACAAGTCCAGGGCAGAAGCGAAGAGAATGAAGGTGGCAAAGAGTGCACAGACTTTTAACCCAACTTCCTCGCAGAATACCCAGAATTTAGCAACCTATAGAGAAGGTTACAACGTATATGGAACCGAAAGTATTAAAATTTAGGGGTAGGACTTAGGGCCGACTACAGTGAGTGGGGGATGCATCCTGTGAACGCAGTGTTGTGACCTGTCTGTCCGGTGGTGGTATTGCTTGCTTCTAATTAGAGCTTTATATTTTTGAAAACTTCAGTGCAAATTGGTTCGGTTTTCTTTGGCTGCAGATGTACTGTTTGAAACTTTATGTTGCCAATAGATATCTGCATTGCAAGGGTCAGAAAGATAAAAAACAAACCAGAATTGCTCTGTGAAATGATTTAAACAGTATATTCTACCTGAAATTTGGGGAAAATTGGAAATTAGATCTGGGCTTCCTTGCATATCGACTGGGCAAATCTTTCCTGTAACAGTTCAATTTTAGGGTAGGTGCTAAAAAATAAGCACAAAATCTGTTCCAAGTGATCAAAACCCAGATAGTTGCCTATTTTTGACAAGGTCATATTGTTTTCTGAGGACCAACACATGTAAAAACTCCAAGGCACAGAGTATGTGCTCAATGAATTTTGGCTCCTCTTCTAATTTGTTGTACATTAGTCATTATTCTACATTTTTAAAACATGAAATTCCACTTTTTATTTATCCGATGGTAGTCCTTGAGCCAGAACTTTAAGGAAGAGTGATGATCAGAATTTTGACTACAATTCACATTTATTAGATGAAATTCAACTTTTATGCTCAAAGTATCACAAAGGTAAATAGACATTTTAGGCAATACAGCAGTTTTTCCATCAGAGACATCAGCAATATTTGTGTCCTATAAGAAAGATTCAGAAAAAGATAAAAATTGCAGTGAGTCATTATGAGCTATTTTTTTTTTTTTTCATTTCAATTGCTTTTAAGCAATCCAGGTCAGCACCACTTACTCACATCCTCTCATCATGGCACAATAAAAAATTGTAAGCATTCAGTAAAATATAGGAGATGGAGGTTATTTTAAAAAAAATTTAAATGTGTACTTCTTCTTTCCTCTAGTAATAGGAAGTCGTTTTAAAATAAGATCTGAAAGGATTTGTTATTGCTCTTCCTAAAATCAGGACTCTGAAACCCATTTTCTAAAATTATCTATAATAGCTAACTGAATAGGCTGCTCAGTTTCATTACAATGATAAATGAGTCTTTGAACTTCCAAGAGATATTTGGTACTTGATGTACCCTAAAGTCAAAAACCCTATATACTTTCAGTAAGATGTACATCTGAGTTTACACCAGCTAAACACACTTGATTTTTATATTTGTTTATATGAAAGCTTTTGAAATACTTGTATCTTAAAGCAAAGAGTCAATGCCATCCCTTTTAATCAAGATATAATTGCTTTCATCCATAATGTAGAAATCAGTGACTGAGTACAATAGCACATAGATAGTTCCAAAATGATTCTTTCCTAATTTTGTGAAAAAGAATTAAGAACTAAATCCTCAATTCACTCGATCCAAACATTTTTAACATGTCTTATAATAGCAAAACTACAAAGTGGGATAATATCAAGGTGTCTTAGCCATTAGAGGAATGCTTTCATCTTAACGTTTACAGAGTTGATGAGAGACTTTTTTCAAATTGAGAAAAACAATACTTGATTAATTTTCAGAACCAATTATTTGGACTGAATTCTGAGATGAATTTTGTAAGATGTCCTTACTAGGTTTTGTTACCAGTTCATTAAAACTGACTTTTCTTTGACATAACAAAGGCACTCCAGTCATCATCAGCAAGGTACAAGGGTGGGAAGCAAAGCAAATAAAAAAAGGGTATTAGAAATTTTTAGAAAGAAATACTATGTATGCTATTTCATTTCTAAGTTCAGGGAAGTTATTAAAAGGAGATGTAAATTTGCACATCATATATATACAATTTATATATAACATTGTATTTGGAGTTACAACTTGACATTGAAGTTCACATGAATTGCCTTTAGAGGTAGATTTGAACATTTAAGACAATACATTTCAAATAAATAGGAAGCATTCGTCTGACATTTTAAAAGGCAGTGGCATTCAAGATAAATGAAATAATCGGTGCCTGTCAAAACTTATAAGTAAGCAGTTTTTATTGTATTCTCAAATTAAAGGAAAACTTTCATAAACTCTATGACCATAATTATGGAAATGATTGGTAATTCAAAAATAATATTGCCCCAGAATCCCAAAAACAAAACCTGACACCTTCAATCTGTGGTAGATTCTAGTAAAAAGTGATCATCCCTCAAGGGAACATAAGCCACAGCAATCCAACAAAACCCAGACCATATGTAAAATTACTAGAAAGTTTTCCAGTTTGAGGAGTCTCAAAAGGTTCACATCAAGATGAATAGAAATGGCATTTTATGGAAGATGCAGATGATGTTTAAGTATAGGAAATAAAAATGCTAAAACAGATTTAAAGAAAAATAAGTCAAAATTTTATTAAGTAATACACTTCATTGCATTAATCTATAAAAAAGAAGGGTGTATTTGAGATTATATGGAGTTGTTCAACCTTTGGAAGTTTTCCTTTCCTCACAAACATGATCAAGAAAAGAAAGAAGGCCAGGCGTGGTGGTTGACGCTTGTAATCCCAGCACTTTGGGAGGCTGAAGTGGGAGGATCACGAGGTCAGGAGACCGAGACCGTCCTGACTAACACAATGGAACCCCGTCTCTACTAAAAATACAAAAAATTAGCTGGGCATGGTGGTGGGCACTTGTAGTCCCAGCTACTTGGGAGGCTGAGGCAGGAGAATGGCGTGAACCCGGGAAGTGAAGCTTGCAGTGAGCTGAGATCATGCCCCTGCACTCCAGCCTGGGCGACAGCCTGGGCAAGACTCTGTCTTAAAAAAAGAAAAAAAGAAAAAGAAAAGAAAGAAAGAAAAGAAAAGAAAGAAAACAAAACCAGATTTTTATGGCAAAAACCTTCTGTAAACACTTTTTAAAAATTACCATGCTTTTATTAATGGTATTTTAGCATTTCCTCTTGAAGAAAAATTAAAACAAAGCTAAACTAGTGGATTTTAACAAATAATTGTCTATTTTACTTAACATTAAATGTTGAAAGGGAATCTAAAGAAACATATTCAGACTTTGATCTTGGTTTTAAGTTTAGTGATTAGTATGAATTCTCTGGATTAGTGATTAGTATGAATTCTCTGGAACTATCTTTCCTAAATCTCTTGTTAAACAACAGATGAGTGGTTTGGAGACTGAGTGGTTTGGGAACTCCAAAGATTTAAGATGGGCTAATACAATGGTTTGGATCAGACTCATAGATGCTCATTTTTCTTGTTTTCCTCAGCATCTGGTTTTATCTAACTAATATAAACTTCCTAAATCTGCTCCCAAATTGTTTTCTTTAGAAGATTATGAAAAATGCCAATGCTGTAACCGGAGTGTTCCATATAGTTAGGTACTCACTAAAGGGTTCTGACCCCCAAAATGTCCATCTAAAACACATAAAACTGAAAAGATTACACTAGAAAGCTATTTAGCATCTTGATACCAAGTCTTGGCTTATGTTTCTTAAATCCATTTTGTTGCTAGATTTTCTTGATATAAATAGTACTGCTTTGCTAATGCTTCTTTTTATACACACACCCAAAAGCATACGTACTCTAATATTGAGTAGGAAAATATTCACCTCCAATAAAACAATCTCCCAAGAGTCTCACTTCAAAAACCGAGACTACTGCAACCATGTATCCTTTTTAGTTCCTTTGGTGAGATTATTCTATGTGAGTGAGGTTCTTCATTAAAATAGTGGGCAATGTATTCATTTACATTTTTAAGGTATCATTTACATACAATAAAATCTACCCTTTTTAGTGTACAGATTTGATAAATTATGAATAATTTTAGAATATTATCCTATCAGTTTCATTTACAAGAAAGAGAAAAAGTATCTTCCTATTTAAGGTCATTCATCCACTCAACAAATATTTACTGAGTGCCTATTATGTGACAAATAAAAGTCAGAAGAACTTTGATTTCAAGGGGCTAATAGAAGATAATCAGGTAGAAGTGTTGTTTTTCTCTAAAATCCTCATTATATTTCCATGATTTCTAAATATAAAAGCTATCCATGTTTCTGTAAAGACCGTATCCCCAATTCTGATTATGATGATAAGCATTAATTTTTAAGACTGTTTACTGAAACAGAACTGTGATATTGACCTTGATTTTGTCATTTATATGTCATTACTAGCAATTTGACTTCAACTTTCTGAAGTTTTCAGAGTAACTGATCTGTAAACATTTTTATTCCACCAGTTTTTACACTATTTACTGATTTCATTACTTAATATATAATTATTCTAATATTTAAGCTCCAGGGCAGAATAAACACAGGGATGGAATTTCCTAAAGATTTGGATAAACTTGAATTCACAACAGGAAATTAGATACATGATGAGTTGTGAGTTATGAACTAAGTCATAACAAACTTAGGGAATCGCTCCTTTACCCTATTTTCCTCTTAAGTTATAATTCTAGCTACTAGAAAGAATTTAGACAGTGAATGAACAGTAATGAGACTAACATAATAACAGTGCCTGTTTCTCCTTTGTATAATATTACCTGCTACCTAATGGATAAGGGACAGGAATTTACTGATTTCAGTTCCCTGACTCTTTAACCTCAATATGGGAGGTTCCCCAGTGATGACCATTCAGTTGGCTTTGAAACATATCCTTTTTCAGTGCACCCCTTTTAAATACAGTTCTTAAAATATGGAGCCTTAGTGTCCATAATAGCATAGAGTGAACTATATGTCACTAATTGTGCTGTTCTGGGTCATGTCTATAACCGGTGTGAATGAGTGAAGTGTCTGTGGATAGGTCTGTGTTATAAAACAGGAAGATCTGTCACGAAGTCTATACATATAGTTTGTTTAGGTACTTCATTAGTTCTGAGAGTCTAATCCTTGCACTGTAAAGACATTTCATAACAAGGAAATACTATCTAAAGAATGTTGTCAAACATAAAAGAGCTTTTAAGCTCATCCAGAAGTACTAAGATATACAGTGCAGCAAGTTAAAAGATGTTTCCTGCCCAGATTTACTAACAGTAGTTAAATATTATGATTTTAGAATGAGTTTTTCCACAGGTAGGACCACAAACTCTAGACAGATTCATTCTTCGGTGTAGTTAAGCTTTCCTTTCCCTGGATAAGCAGTTTTCATATGACCAAAAGAACATGGAAAAAAATGCAGATGTCTAATTATTGATATTTCGGTGTTTGTTGTGGAATATTTTGTTGAAGAAACAGAAATATGGTAACACTCCGCGTTCTTTCTGCTTCCTTTCCATGCAACCCAGCTGACCTTTTCTGAAGCCATAAGAAACAAAGCCAGATTATCCATCACTGGGAGTGTGGGAGAGAATGGCCGCGTCTTGACGCCTGACTGCCCAAAGGCTGTACACGCTGGAACTGCAATCAGACAAAGTTCAGGATTGGCTGTCATTGCATCGGACCTACCATAAAAACCAAAAAAATAATTGAGTGCCTTAATTAAACTGTGTTGGTGACTGATGGAAACGCAGCCCTGAGGAACACGCCACGCGCGGGTCTTTGCTAAACCAATCCTTTGGCTGAGAATGGGAAGTCCGTCCTAACGGGCTGGCCGAACATCAGCAGCAGCAACGTGTGCATGAGCTCAGCTCGGAAACCCAAACTCAGATTTTATATCAGGAAAACTCACAATTTAGGTTTTTTTCGGGGAGTGGGTGGGGGAGGGATCTGGGATGGGTGTATTAACAGCAACAAATTTCATTTGAGTGGACTCAAAAACTAATCAGACTTGCGAGTTAGCGCATTAAACTGTGAAGTTCTTGCTCAGAAAGGCCTTTGTCTTCACCGGAAAGGATAAAATAGTTATAGAAGTCCGTGAACATGCTAACCTGTGTCTCCAGAACACCCATATAGTCCATGGAAGAAAATCCAGCTGAGAAAACAAATCACTAAACTGTGATAAGAAAATAATGAACAAACATGTAAATCCTGTGGGAAAAAAAAATAATGGAAGTATTTACACTTACTTTGGAGAAAACAAATACTGAAACATGCTTGCTTTTTAACTGATGTAAATTCAGTAGAGGACAACACAATTCTTTTTTCTAACCATCTTAGGGAACAATACATTGCAATAATTGATATAAATGCCATCACTGTAATAAACTTTAGAGACTTTTTTTTATAAAAGTTGTTGGTCATCTTCTTGTTTGCTGTAAACTTCACTCTGTCACATGAGTCGGTTCACAGATTGCTTTTGTCTCACAACCAGGAAGAAAAGCAAAAGGAAGAGAACGTTTAGGTTCAATCACTAGTCCGCGGTGTAGACTCAGAAGAGACTATGGGTCACTCATGTTAACAGTATTATTTATAATCTTCTGTGTAAAAAATTGTGGTTTTTGTACCCACCAAAAAGAATAAAACAGCAGATGTTCTTACAATATCTACAGAGCTTAAAAGTTTTTTCTTATCCTTATAAAAGTTATTTGAGAAATTATAAGACTATAAGAGAGATTGTAATAGTCGTGGGCCATAGTGGAAAATGTAGCTAGCCCTCATTATTTTTTGCATACTAAGCGACCCCTCTTTTTCAAATCTTTGACTCATTAACAGATTGAATTGTCAAATATGGAGTCTTTGAGTTGGGGAATGAATCACTGTCCTAACAACAACATACCTTGTAATTGTGTGTTGAAATTTTACTTGACTGTATTTTGCTGCATAAAATTGTGTGTCTCTTGGGCTTTTCCCCTTATTCCCATTGTTCCCTTTAAATCATATGAAGGCATTCATAATAGTTTGGGGTAGATAACAAATGAAGAATTAGTCTTTGTTTTCAACTGGAAATTGTAAAAAAAAATTATACCCATGTTTATTTATAAAAATCACCTTATGTATGAATTAAACTAATATGGTCCAAAAGAAGGTTTGGTTCATTTGAAATAATAAATAAATACTCTAATACAGATAAAAATCATGTACTTAGGGTATTGGCAGAAAGCACAAGTTAGGATGATTTCAGAAGTCTGGTCTTGAAGGATGAGTTGAGTTTTAATAGGAGGAGAATATGTAAAGAGCCATATGAGTGAGCAGTGGCCCAAAGCCATGAACATCAATGGCTCATTTAAGGAATGAATGCCATTAGATGGGCTAGTGAGAGCACAGGGTATGATATTATGGAAAATAAAGTTGGAAAAGCTGAAGGATTGATTTTCTTCCATCAACTCTCAAGATCCCATTCCCCATTCAATCTGTGCTGCAGTAAGAGCAATCTTAAACAGTATAAATCACACACACACACACACACACACACACACACACACACACACGTCCCTCAGGAAAAATTTCAAGCTCTTGAGAAGATCACATGAGCCCCTTCATGACCTGGCCCTTGCTTATTTCTTCCAGGACTTCTCTCACTTCTATCCAGCTACTCCCATCAGCAAATGAACCTCCAAAGCAGCACATGGAGCACTGCATAGACTACTTCCTCAGTGCGTAACTCCTCCCTGTCTCCTCTTTACCTGACTAACTTATAGTCATCTTTCAATACTCAAATTGAATTTTACTTGCCCTGAAAATGTTTCCATGGCTATCCACCACCTCCCTGCCTGTGAGACTGAGTTAGGTGCCCTTTTTAATGTCTTTCGCCCATCACAGCACTTACCATACTGCGTTGTAATTGCCTGTGTACTTGTCTGTATAACTACTAGACTGTAAGCTCCTTGAGGGCAGGGACTGTGTCTATCATGTTCACAGTTGTATCCCCAGCACCCAGCACAGTGCCTGGCATATTGTAGGTGCTTAATAAATATTTGTTGAATGAATACTTGAATTGAATTGAGTTAATTTAATTAAGTGAAAGCAGAAAAACAGCATCTTTTTCTATTAAGAGTCTCTAGAGTATATTTTAAGTAATATGGTCCCCAACTTAATGAGCATTCGACTCATGATTATTCAAGTTTATGATGATGCAAAAATGATATGCTTTCGGTACAGTACTCAATAAGTTATGTGAGATATTCAACACTTAGTAATAAAATAGGCTTTGTGTTAGGTGACTTTGAGGCTGATATAAGCGTTCTGAACACATGTAAGGTGTGCTAAGCTAACCTATTATGTTCAACAAGTTAGATTTATTCAATGTATCTTCAACTTACACTATTTCAACTGAAGATGGGTTTATTGGGATATAACCCCATTGTAAGTCGAGGAGCATGTGTATATGGTGAGCCAAATGAAGGTTGCAGGTTGGCTGATTTCATAGTGTTGTCTATGTCACTGGAAAGCATGGCTTTAAAAAAAAGTTGATCTGATAAATTTTCTGATCAGATGAGACTATATTCCATGTAATTGTATATAGCTGTGGATCATTTGTTTGACTGGATAAACTGTTGTAAAAAAAAAAAGAAAGAAAGAAAGAAAGAAAGAAAGAAAGAAAGAAAGAAAGAAAGAAAGAAAGAAAGAGAAAGAAAGAAAGAAAGAAAGAAAGAAAGAGAGAGAGAGAGAGAGAGAGAGAGAAAGAAAGAGAAAGAAAGAAAGAAAGAAAGAAAGAAAGAAAGAAAGAAAGAAAGAAAGAAAGAAAGAAAGAAAGAAAGAAAGAAAGAAAGAAAGAAAGAAAGAAAGAAAACCCACAACAGGGTTTTGGTGTGGTTTTTAGCCATATTTCCAAAGGTATCTTTCATTTAAGCCTCAGAGTGGATTCATGATATTAAGTTAGAGAGTTATTTCTTATAGTAAAGAATAATTTTGGCCAAAACAAAATTTTAAGTTTGACATCAGTAAAACGGGCTCTCTCTCTGGATTCCAGTCTGGTGATATGCTTTAAAACTAGGAAATATGACTTTAAAACATTCATGTTTAAGTTAAACATAAACTTAACTTTTCATTTAAAACATTTGGTCCCACGAAGTGAAGAACCCAGTTACCAAACAAGATCACCGTGTATTGATTCTGAACATATTGGCTAAAGCCAACTTTGAGGCTAGATCAGCTAGTTAAATGCATTCAATGTGCATATTAGAAAGATCTAAAGAGCCTTCAAGAGAACAACTTTGTTACACTCAATTCAATAACTATTTGTTCAAAATGTACTTGCAGATTATCAACTCATTCCATTTCCCTAAAGAATAGCACAGAGTAGTTGTTCAATATATTTTTGTCAATTCATAAACAAAACTTTACATATTAAGTTAGTATCCGTGGAAAAAAATATTCAGATAATTTTCCTAGAAAGTAAAATATCCCAGTTTGCAACACCAGTGAAATGGTGATAGGAATAAGAACTAAATGAAAAGTGACATCTAGGAAAGTTTATGGAAAACAGACAAAAAAGTGCAGATTCATCTGCCTTATACCTATTTAAACGATGCTGCCTGAAAAATGTACCTTTTCATACACGTTTATAGAAGGATTTCAGTTTCAGATAGTTCAGCGAGCCGGAGAACTTAACTTTTGTAAAACCAAATGCAAATATAGTAGGTGATACAATTATGCATTTTCTAAGCAGCTAATACCAGTAGTCTTTTCAAAGGAGAACTTTTCTTTTTCAATAAAATATTTTAATAAATTATAAAGAGCAAGAGATAAGACTTAGAAATTGTATCTCAAATAGCAACAGAAAACCCAATTGTTTTCCATGAAATAAGAAAAGCCTGTTTGTTGGTCTGTCTTTGACTTTATTTTCCTTTGGGGGGGAAAGTAGATTAAGAAAATGAGGAAAAGTGAAAGATAAAGGGAAAGAAGACATTTAGAAAGCAGAAAGCTGGGTAAAAGACCCATAGGATCCCCCTGGGTGGCCAAGAGGACTTGAGAGAACAGAAAAGTTCACGTATAATTTCTACACTGTTAGATGTGGAATGTTCTATGTAATCATCTTCCTGTGACATGTGTGCCTCCAGTTTAAGTTTCCCTACATGCCACAGACTGGCATTTGTGGTTTCCTTGAAGGAGGGAATCAAAGAGAAAATTCTAAGTCCCATGTTTCCATGGATGTTAGGTTATAAATAACCCTAAAAATACGTCTCCTTCCCACAGAGATATGCAGAAATCTAGATTGAGATTTTGCTTCCATGTGGCAAAGAACAAGGGTTCATTTAATTTTTTCTGAATCTGAAGAAAATGGCAGGTTGACGAAACCTCCATTACATAAATACCTGTTTTTTAGCCACTAGTACTGACTAGAAAGTGTCATCAACAACAAAGTAAGCAAAAAACACAGAAAAATATATATCACTAAAGAAAATTTTTGTTAAATCACAATGCCTAGTACATGGCTTGAGGGAAAAGGTTACTTAAGAGTTTCGTAGTTCCGCAATCCCAAGTATGAAGACAGCCTGTTCAAGTAATATACCATTATGATTTCCTTCTCAGAGTTTGCACATTTCACCAAAACTTCTGAAGTTCCTAAACACTTAGTAATGGCTTAAAACTGTGTCTATAGAACATTATTTGTGCAGTTGGGTAGGTCTGTAGTCATAGGCAATCGTGTTTCAATAAATGATTTAATGAACTGTTTGACTAAATGAATAAAGAAATGAATGAATAAAGACCCTCTAAAGTAATTCATGATCATTCCCTGTATAAAAACTTCTGCCAGCTCCTCAGAGCTAATTTCCAGCATAAATGGGAGTTTTTCAGCATTTATTTTTAAACAAAGAAGGGATTTGGAACAATTTTGTTCACAGCTGGCTCAATCTAGAAATTTGCCTAATCCTTTGACCACATTAAAGTGGTACTGTGTCAAACTTCTAAAACAGGGCATTTAAAAAATCCCATCTGCCTGAGATTTTCGCAGAACCATACTTCTCACCAATATTCTGTTTTTACATCTAAGCACAGTCAATGTCAGCCAGCATCTTTATGCTTCCAAGACCACCATCACAGTAGGTGGTTGCAGGCTCATTGGGACTTGCACAGGAACTGGTGACACTAATTAGAATAAAATGAAAACCCTGAGGCTCAACCCAGTAGGTCTATATCCATGTCATCTTTGGTCACAGTCTCACATCAAAATCATTCCAATAATCTCTCTCTGTCTTGTCCACGTTTTCCTCCCAATACTCTTCTGCACTTTTCTTCCTTCTCCCCATTCATCTTCCCACCACTTTTCTCTCTCTCTGACTTTGCCACCATTCTCCCTAGGACCCTCATATAAAGTAAGGAATCCCTGAACACCCTCAAGTTCTCCCCAGAGCACTGTCCCATCTCCTGATAATACCACTCCATGTACCACAAACCTAGAAGGAAAAGGAATGTCAGTCCTTAACAATTACAGCCCACATATAAAAATCCTTCCCCCTGAATGTTCTCAACATGAAGAAATGATAAATATTTGAGATGATGGCTATGCTAATGGTCCTTATCTGAACACTATAAATTATATATATATACATATTAAAACATCACTATGCACCTCATGAATAGGTACAACTATCATCAATTAAAAATTAAAATTAAAACATGACAATAGTAAAAAAAATTTCTTCTCATCTAATCATACTGTTAAAATGCACTGCCTGCTTGTTCATTTTTGCCTGCTGACTTATCTATAATTGCCCCACATTCATAAATGATTTTGGCATTTGGCTTATTCTTCCTGTGCACCCCAAGTTATAGTATCATCCTAAACAACTTCAAGGTCAGTACAGATGATTCATCTAACCCTTAGCCCTACAGTTCTTTGACTTCCCATGGGTCTTTGCCTCAATGCTATTTGCACCAAAGGAAATGCATCAGACCTTGTGATCGTTTACCTTCTCATCTTGCTTCAGATGATGACCCACTTCTCTTCTTCCTTGCACCCTAGTGATTGAAAAGAGTGGCCTTTAATCCACTATTGAACTCCTCTACTTGGCTACGTCACTTTACCAAAATGTTCTTCCCAAGGTCACCAATAAATATCTCGTAGTCATATTTAAATAAACATTTCAATATGGAACAAAATCAAATTGATCTCTTTATGTATTGGCATGGATGATACTATTATATTCCCCCTAATTCTCTATTTATTTTTTCTCAGTCTATTTTATATTCCCCATTTCCCTCAACCAGTCCTTACATGTTGCTATTACTCAGGGTTGTAACCTTTGCCCCCTTCTCTTCTCATAGAAATATTCCACCTGGTTGATGTCACTATTATCAAACTGTCTACAGTCACTTATACATTATCAACAATGAAATCTGTGTCTTCCATTCAAGTCTTACGTACTCAGTTGCCTACCGTTTATCTTTTTGACTTTGCTATTACAACATATCAAATTTCCTCATTTTTCATTCTACATTCCCACCTCCTCTTGTATCCCTGTTTCAGTGAGTGGTATTAGCATTCATCTAATCTCCCAAATCATGAGAATCATTCCATAACCTCTTTTCTTCCTCATTCACACATCCAATCAATCAACATCTTAAATTCCCTTATCTCGCATCTCTCCTTTCTCTGTCACGTACTCGTCATCCACATTGTGACTGACTTGATTCAGGGACTCAGAATTTCTCACTGTTATTACTACAACTATCTCCTAATAGGTTTCCTTACTTCTTGTTCACTTATATCCCCCTCTAGTTCACTTCCTACATGGCTACCAGAGTAATTTCCCTAAAACATAAATATGATCCTGTCACCTTCCTGATTAAAATAACTCTATGTCCAATATATGAGGCCTGTCAACATCTTCAGTGTTGTCTGTCACCTACTTTCTACTCCAATAACGTTAAATCACTCACAGCTCCAGTTTCCAGAATGCTTCATCTTCTTCCCCTTCTAAGTTTTGCCAGTTTTTCCCTCTACCTGGATTGCCCCTATTTCAGACAAGATTTCCAGTTATAA